CAGTCGCAATCTTCGGATTTTATTACACGTGTTTTAGCGGGCCGCCGCACTGCGGCCACCATGCTGCATAAAGGCTGTCTGCTGTTAACTTTGCTCTGTTAGGCAATGATTTGAACAAAAAGATTATACGAGATACGACGAGCCTATAAAAAGCCTATACGAGAGTAGCATTTTCGGCCAATATTACTCACACACTTTAACAGGCTCAGTTTCAAGTTACAGGGCCAACGCGCTACGAGCGCTCGTGGCAGACCATATTCACCCGCTAGGCGTGCTGCCACCTAGCGGGTGTCTCGGCCAACTAATGAGCCGTGGCCGTCGAATAGACGCCCAGACTCGCGCACATTCTGACATCATCGTGTGCGCGGGGCTGCATCTCTCGCGCAGAAGTAAAAGCATCTGGAACTGAACGCTGTGTCTTTGCAGATCATGGTCCGTGCGGACTCTAAGCGTTGAGTGATACATAGGATAAAATAAAACAAGGATACAAGGATAAAATCGAAATCAAACTCCGTGGACGATGTAGTGCGGGCGGCGGATGGCTCTATACAAGCGTTATCGAATGCGCGGAGCTGCAATCCTTGGACTCGATTATAATATTTTGTTTGGTCGGCCGCATTATGGTCACCACTCTACGCACAAACCGGCTCCAGGGAGCCATGCGCCGTCAAGAGATAATTGGAGCAAAAAAGGTCTTGTCACTCAAGGAGAGATTACATTGGCGGCCGATTTTTTCTCCACATAGCCTGCACAAGGTTACGCCTTCCATGCATAAGCATTTCAAATTGTACGACGTATCTGCACAAATCATCGCTCCGGCCGGACTTCAAGGATTGGGCCATACGCTGGTTGGGGATCGACTAAGTAAAATCGAGACCAAATTCCGACGAGTGTATTGTATTGGCAGGCGATAGCCTTTTACCGTTGCTATTGAATATCAGCCAACGTATGCTGTGGCACAGAAATGAAGGCCTTGCAATTTTTGTAATCATTTGGCCTGTTTATCGTTGTGTCATGTCGGGGCTATCATATGTCCATAACAAGCACGCACTACGCAGCATTCTTAGAATAACGATTTAGGACGCGCATGCGCGTCAACTGATAGCTCTCTCGTAGCTTCTCTTTTCCTTGGTTTATAACGGCAGGTTGATTAAAACTGATTAGTAGAGAGAAAGATTTGGGCAGCGTCTGAGGATTTATATTATATAGCTTTGGACATTTCAGAAAGTCAACTAACATGGGTGCCTTTGAGGGCTTATAACTCAAATAGTTTTAGTTTAGCCTTGGGCATTTTAGGTCAGCTAACATGGGTGGCTCTGAGGGTTTACAACTCAAATAGTTTTATCTCAATTGCACAAAATATGTGCCACTGAACTTGCGATGATCAAATACATCTTTTAGGAATTTTTTGGTGAAAATGACCGTTTCAAAATTATGTTTATTCAAATTTCAAAAGATTTCGGAGTACTCAGTATCACTGGAGAGGGCCTGTGCAAGTCGTAAGTGACCTTCACCGTGAGGACTTTTGAAAAGCGTTCCGTTATGTGGTTCGCGATGCTCACCACCTCCTACCCAGATGCATAGATGAACATGGTTTTACTGACCAGTTTCTCAGACAGCAATTTGAGCACGTCCTCAACCGCCAGTATTTGACCATCTCGGGTGTGTCTGAGGTTCTCTCGTGCTGTGGCATGCTTAACCGTGCCTTCGACGCCGTCACCGGCTCCCTTACCATGTGACGTGGAAGAAAAACATGGTTGAGGACGGCTGAGGACGTGCTCAAATTGCTATCTGAGAAACTGGTCAGCAAAACCATGTTTGTCTATGCCCATCACAGAGCACCACAGTCAGCCTCACGGTGGCACACGTTGTTGAAGTTATGCTTTTTTGTACCTAGTGACACTGCCGTCTGTGAATAAATATTTTTTCACATTGGGCACTTAAGCATGAAGGTCTGGGACATGTCGTCGCAAGAACGCATGAACCATAGCGGTGTTATGCTTTGCACCATCAGAAATGAGACAGTAGCTCTGATGGCACAGCACACCTTCCTCCCTCCAGTATGCTACCAACGGGTGCATAGCGCACTGAGAAGAGTTGCAGCGAAAGCCTTGGGTCGCCTCTTTCACTACGAATGAGTCATTTTTAGAGAAGTCGCCCTGAGTAACCACTTCGCTCTCGTTGGCAGCAGCCTCCTACGTGGGCAAAGCACTGACACTGCTCATCAGCTGCAAAATGATATCCAGCCAACGTTGTGATTTACTGGCTAAACAATATCGCGCTACCTTCCTTTGATGCGATGATTTCCACTAGTGCGCGGCAATCCGTGCTCAGCCACTGTCTATATCGAATCTTACCATCCATATCGACAAGGGTGGTGCCACCCTCGTCGATATCCCCTAATTTGTCCGAGAGAGCATGACTTAAAAAGCTCTTTGCTCCCTTGTGATCAGGACAATCCCTACGGTGCCCTGTCATGCAGTCACAATCTTCCGTGCACATACAGCGTGATCAATGAGGTCACGGTATTTCAGATCAGGAAGGCCGAGAAAGGATGTGAGTAGTTTTGGATTATGATATGTGCACACGCATACTTAATGCGTATTACGGCTGTCCGCCAAGACGCAGTGTTTCGGACCAAGTGCAGCAAAAGTCGAGAAACCGATAGAAGGGTTTTTTAGTCATGCGTGCAAACGTCACACACTTCACACAAGCTCCCGAGACGAGTCTTTTTTGCAATCTACCCTAGGTTCCACCGAGCTGTCGGACCGTGGTACAGTCGTCCCTGCCCGGGCACATCCGGATGATCTGGTCCTACTCGCAAAACAGCTTAACCTTCTCCTTGCCCGCGTCAGGGATGCTCAAACATTTCTTCGCTTTACGGACCACTGGCGAGATACCGTGATATTTTTTTAGTTGGCAGTTGTTTTCCTGACCGTGTACATGGAACCATTCTTTGCTTGTGCCCCGCCAGATGGGATGACATCCCTTGCGTTGGAAGATTTTCATTTTTGCGGCGTGAGAAGTGGGCCAAACAGCTCGCTGACCATCTGTTTGTGACTAGGGAAACGCTGACATGTACTTTCCTTTCCATTCACGAAAAGAAAAAAAACTCGTACAGAATGTTTCTAGCTTCGCAGTAGCGCCACCGAGAGGCCCTGCCTGTTCCCCTCCCCTCCCCAGCTCCGTGGCACTGCCATCGTCACACGGCCGGCTCCTCTATGGAGGTGAGAAACGTGAATGCTCCAAATTTTTATGAGCTCGCTTGGGACTATCACGAAAAGAGCCGCGTATGGGTGGATTGGGACAAACATGTAGCATTTTGAAGAAAAAACCGATGATTTGTTACTTCTTCTTATGAAAAAACAATTCCTCCTTAATTCTGCATTTTAAAAAAATCAGCATTATGAATGTTCCAGGCGCCAAAATAGGCCGCATAGCTTTTGGTCACGCTGCCACGGGTTTTAAGATCAAGTGAAGAAAAATTTAGAAATGACCAAAAGATACACCGCTTTGTTGCACGTTTAATGGTACATCGTTTTGCGCAATCTGAATAGTTATTCATTGCGTGGTAGGCTCTCAAAGATGCCTTAGTTAGCTGACCTCTCAAAAACGTCCGAGGTTTTAGCTTTTTCACCGTTGCTCTGACCTTTGTGAAAACTACAAAGTTGGCTTCAGTGCACAAGACAACCCCCTGGAAGAATTTTCATCAAAATATGAAACATCAAATGTTATGCCTCCGTCAAGTTGGCGGGGAATGCCCCAGCGATATGCATGCGACGTCGCTTTCTTTGAGTGGAGCCGAATCACGTGAAGAGTTATTTGCCATGGTCAGAGATGATGTAGTTGAACTCTCGTAATAGATGTTAAGCGCAATGCTCTCATTTGGTGGTTTTGTTGGACAGTTGTGATAGACAGTGTTGTGCAGGTTTTTCTTTTGGCCTTGTAGCCAGAGGACATCATGTTTTTGTTTTTTTAAGAACACATTTAAGGCATATATTCTGGTGTGTGTTTTGAGAACGGGAAAAAACAATTCAGGAAATGGTCGCTAGGTCTGCCAAATTCTGTACATCTCAAACCGAAACCAGACTGTATATCCACACGTAGATGACTTTGTGACTGTAGAACTGTAGATCTCACCAGAACCGAGCTGTGAAAAGAAGCAGGTAGACTTTGCCACACTCACTTTAGTGGAAGATTTCTATGCGTATTGTCATATACTTTTTTATTTACGGGCGTTTTCACTGCCGTGGTTCATCACGGTGTTATTAAGTCCAGCCAGTAAGCCGCAAACTGGTGACCGGCTCCATCCTCTTAGCCGGAGGCGGTCACGTGGTCTGCCAGGCAGGCCCAAACGGCTGGTTGGCAGCTTGAACAATGTCAGCCGAGACAGTGATGATGGTGGGAGACGATGGCGGCGTGTTTAACTGCGGCGGCGACGACACCAGAGGAGGCCTGGTGACTATGTCTGACCTCACTCATGTCTAGGTTCTCCTGCTTGTGCATCCGCGAGACGGACCATCCACGAGACGGACCATCCACGAGACGGGCGCCATCCACGGAGACGGACCATCCACGAGACGGACCATTCCACGAGCACGGACCATCCACGAGACGGGCCATCCACCGAGACGGACCATCCACGAGACGCGACCATCCACGAGACGGACCATCCAAGAGACGGACCAATCCACGAGACGGACCATCCACGAGACGGACCATTCCACGAGACGGGCCATCCACGAGACGGACCATCCACGAGACGGACCATCCAAGATACGGCGCCAACATCACGAGACGAGACGGGCCATCCACGAGACGGGCTATCCACGAGACGGACCATCCACGAGACGGACCATCCACGAGACGGACCATCCACGAGACGGGCTATCCACGAGACGGGCCATCCACGAGACGGGCCATCCACGAGACGGACCATCCACGAGACGGACCATCCACGAGACGGACCATCCACGAGACACATTCATAGAAATGTGCATCTACTGGTTGTTGCCGAGCAGCTGTAGACCCTCCTGGGCTCCCACCGCGATCCGCAGCCGCAGCCAGTGCTCCTGCAGGTGCAGGCGCAGGGAGCTCGGGAGGAACAGGCGGAGAACGGCCTCATGCGCCCTCAGGCATGGAGCCTAACTCCAACCGGTTGTCAGACACCACCTAAGGCTGCGACCACACGGACTGGGACCCGCCCGCACGCGGATGACAAGCAGCTAGACCTGCAGGGAGCCTTACCAAGCCTTCATTGCATAACCTTAACATTTGTCTTTATTAATCTTGTAATCTGACCTTATTCTGGTCATTGAAACCGGGAAGTCGGTAACAAGGTGGGGGTGGCGTCGAGGACTTCTTCCCGACAGGCGAGCGGATCTTTGGTTTTCAAAGGAGATCTGGGGCTTCCCACCCATATCCGTCTGAAAATGTGTCGTCTGACTGCACAGACCTTTGCAGAAGCATCCTTTGTTCTACTAATAGTTTAATGGTGTCTCTTTTTCTCGTGGCGAGGCATCTAGACTTGTAAATCTGCGTCTCGCCTTGAGCTGGCGGGGATCGGCTATATTTGCCCAGGGACTTCTATGCATCTGATGGGCTTCTTCGGATCATCTGAGGCTCCTTTCGGTATAGGTATTGTCTTCCTCTATGATTTAAGCTTTGACCAAGCAAGCAGCTGCAGTTCTGCAAGAGTTCTTTTTCTGTAGCATTAGTTCCACAAGCAAGCGTGTTCCCTTCTATTTCCTAAAATGCTTTGCAGGACCTTTTTAATGGTGAATTGCTTTTTAGAGCCAGGATGTTTTTACAACTGATTATCCGCTGCTACTATATACACACCTTATTTAATAATGTTGCAGCGATTTGCGTGCACGCGATTTCAGTGTTTGTGTCCTTATCTGGCGAAACATCAGTCATTATTTTTGTATCATGCTCTCTTGTCGAATACCAGCATTACAGCTGGTGCAAGCCACGCAAGCTGGGTATTGACCATAACTACTCCCTCGGGACAAAATGTGATCGATGTCATGGCACATGTATATTTTCAGCCCACACAGGTCAAACTCAGGCTGCACAACCGTGTGCATGCCGTTTCTGTCCTCTGGTTTGCAGGTTCATGGTTCGCTGTGTCTGCTCCTGTTCGCAGGTTCATGGTTCACCGTGTCTGTTCCTGGTTGCAGGTTCATGGTTCACCGTGTCTGCTCCTGGTTGCAGGTTCATGGTTCACCGTGTCTGCTCCTGGTTGCAGGTTCATGGTTCGCTGTGTCTGTTCCTGGTTGCAGGTTCATGGTTTCGCCGCCCCTGCCTGGTTGCAGGTTCCTATGGTTCGCCGTGTCCGCCCCTGGTTGCAGGTTCATGGTTCACTGTGTCCGCCCCTGGTTGCAGGTTCATGGTTCGCCATGCGCCCCCTCGGGCAATCCAAGCTGCAAGAGACTCGAGTGCACTGGGAAGCAGCGAGCAGAAGCTTGTGACTGACAGAGCACAAACAAGTGTTCATGAAAGCAATCACACGGCAGCAGACAATGTTAGTACATTCCACATGAAATCTGAGCAGTTATACATAACAAATGTCCTCTTTAGGCTTCGATAAAGGCATACTGGATACCGGCTTCGCATACTGTCGCACTCATTGCACAGTAACGCCACCTGCTCGCCGAACGTGGTCACGGTCACAATGAAGCTGAGGCGTAGTTGAAGCCCTATGCCATGCTACCATTTTCTGTTGTAGAATCTTGATGAAGCGCTGTTGTTAAATATGTAATTGGTAGACCAGCAGGCGCGTAGTTAACAACGAGCCGTTCGCACCATACCTTGACGACTACCATGGCCGTCCGGCAGCGGAGTCCAGAGAGCCCAGCGCCCCTTCGCTCTGCCGCCTCTGGCTGACCTCTCACCGTCCCTGACCCGAAGGGCCGGTGCCCTGAGCACGGCGGCACCCCTCCCCTGCCGCTTCTGACCAGCTTCTCGTCGTCCCTGACGCAGCGAGTAGGAGTCATGTGTATTATGCTGTCGGCACCCCTCCCATGCTGCTTCTGAGGAGCCTCTCGCTGCCCCTGACGGGGTGGGTAGGAGTCATGTGTATTGTGTTCCCGGCGCCCCTCTCCTTTCGCTTCTGAGAAGCCTCTCTCTGCCTCTGACCCAGCGGGTAGGAGTCATGTGTACTATGTTCCCGGCGCCCCTCCCCTGCCTCTTCTGAGGAGCCTCTTGCTGCCCTTGACGGAGCGGGTAGGAGTCATGTGTATTATGTTCCCGGCGCCCCTCCCATGCCGCTTCTGAGGAGCCTCTCGCTGCCCCTGACCCAGCGGGTAGGAGTCATGGGCATTATGTTGTCGGCACCCCTCCCCTGCCGCTTCTGACCAGTCTCTCGCTGCCCTTGACCCAGCGGGTAGGAGTCACGTTTACTAGGCTCTCAGCACCTCTCCCTCTGCCGCCTCTGGCTGACCTTTCGCTCTCCCTGTCCCAGCGGGTAGGAGTCACGTGAATTCTGCGCCATAACGTCATCACAATGACACTTCCTCTCTCTCCACAACATTGTATTATATTAGACGTGAGTGCGTGAACGACAATGATGCGCACTGACAGGCTTTAACAGCTTCAACATAACACGACACCAAAACCCACAGTGTATGAGAAGACAGCTGGAGACCGCGATGAGGGGACTGTCGTGTGCCAGGTGTGCTGCAGGAGAATGCCACACCGTGCAACATTAAGGTCACACTTTCGATATCGACGAACAGTAACGAGTAAATGGAAAGTCGACCCAATATGGTGTAGAGCTTCTTGCAGCCTTAAGCGACCGGCTGCAGTCGAATGTTTTACGTTTACGAAAGGTGACATCCAGGAGATTGATAAAAAGATGCCCACTACACCCACATACACTAAATTGAACTTTTTGTTTCTGACCCCGGGGACACAGCATGTAATTTCGGGATGCATTTGTTACCCGACTACAAAATCCAGCGAACTGCAGGACCGAAACTCCAAACAGATCGTGTGGGATAGTTCATGCTGTTACTGTGTCGTGGATATGCTTCTCTACTTAACGATGCACTGGTGGACGATATTACACGTAATGCCCAAACGGAAAGTCTGTCATGACTGCTCGTGTTTCAAGCAGCTCGGACACTGCTGAAAACGACTTATTTACTTTGGTTGGAGAGGATCACATGCGTTGTAAATGCATGCTCACAATTCCTCAGAACTCCCTCCAACGCGACTTCAGACTTCCTCGAAACACTGCAAAAGAGTTTCAATACGATCCTAAAAAGTCAAGTTCCATGAAAGCGGTTACTGTCTGGCGACATAAGACGAAGCAGCTGAGGCGCCCACACACGCAAGCTGGCGTCGTCAAACGCTGAGGCACGTCGCCTACATTAAGCAAACAACATTCATCCATAGCTTGCGCCCTGCCTTCACCTGACACCGCTTCCACACAAATGGGATGGAAGGGGTGTCAGGTGACGGCAGGGCGCGGTATCATTCCACCTGACACCGCTCCCACACAAATGGGATGGCAGCGGTGTCAGGTGAAGGCAGGGCGCGGTATCATTCTACCTGACACCGCTACCACACACATGGGATGGGAGCGATGTCAGGTGAATGCAGGGTGCGGTGTCAGGTGAAGGCAGGGCGCGGTATCATTCTACCTGACACCGCTCCCACACAAATGGGATGGCAGCGGTGTCAGGTGGAGGCAGGGCGCGGTATCATTCTACCTGACACCACTCCCACACAAATGGGATGGGAGCGGAGTCAGGTGAAGGCAGGGTGCAGTGTCATTCCACCTGACACCGCTTCCACACAAATGGGATGGGAGCGGTGTCAGTTGAAGGCAGGGCGCGGTGTCATTCCACCTGACACTGCGTCCACACAAATGGGATGGAAGCGGTGTCAGGTGAATGTAGGGCGCGATATCATACCACCTGACACCGCGTCCACACAAACGGGATGGAAACGATGTCAGGTGAAGGTAGGGCGCGATATCATTCCACCTGACACCGCTTCCACACAAACGGGATGCTGGCGGCTAACCGCGTTCAGCGAAAGTGCCGCGAGCAATCGGTCATGCCCGTTCCCGCAAACGCTTAACATGCCTGGCCGACCTTCGAGTGACCAGGCTTCAGCCCTCGCGCCGTTTGACCGTGGCAAGTGGGAGCCAACTGCGGGCGGCGGGCCGGCTGATCAGCAAGCGGGCCCAAATGTGGGCACGTGCCAACCCTCACTGACCAGCAAACGGGCCAAATGTGGACAGGTGCCAACTCTCACTGATCAGCAAGCGGGCCAAAGGTGGGTAGGTGCCAACCCTCAGTGATCAGCAAGCAGGCCCAAATGTAGGCCCGTGCCAGCCCTCACTGATCAGCAAGCGGGCCGAATGCAGACACGCACCAGCCCTCACTGATCAGAAAGCGGGCCAAATGCGGGCACGTCCCAGCCCTCACTGATTAGCAAGCGGGCCAAATGTGGGCACGTGCCAACCCTCACTGGTCAGCAAGCGGGCCAAATGCAGGCACGTGCCAGCCCTCACTGATCAGCAAGCGGGCCAAATATGGACAGGTGTCAACCCTCACTGATCAGCAAGCGGGCCAAATGTGGGCAGGTGCCAATCCTCACTGATCAGCAAGCGGGCCAAATGTGGACAGGTGCCAACCCTCACTGACCAGCAAGCGGGCCAAAGGCGGGAGGCGGACCAGCTCTCCCGGATCAGCAAGCCATCGTGGGTCCAGTGATCTTGGTTGATCGGTGATGTGCTGAGCCCGGGCGCCGGCACACCACTGGCAGTGTTCGGTCAGCCCCGCCGCGCGCGCTCGGCGCTGGCTAGACGCGATCGTCCGCTGTCGGTCCGCATCGCCGCCCCAGGGCATTGTCCATGAGTAATATTCTGCGTCAACTCATCGTCCAGCCGTGGCCGAATACGCCCTGCATTCGCGGATGCCGTGATAGCCACGGGGATTCTGGGCTGGACGGGGGCCTGATGGTCGACCGGGTAGAACTCCGGTATCCCATTTTGGGGCATGTGCTCACACATTGGTTGCGCCCTGGCTCATTGGCGCTCATTTATCATGCCAGGGCGCACATCGACGAGCACACACCGTTGTAACTTTAAACAAAGATGTGCTGTGCGTTCGTCAGACTCCGGTTACCAGCGGCGGGTCAGCACCACGGGGTCATGCGCGGGCTTCCGCGGTGGGTCAGCACCACGGGGTCATGCACGGGCTTCTGCCGCGGGTCAGCACCACGGAGTCATGCTCGGGTTTCCGCGGTGGGTCAGCACCACTGTTTTGCTGATACCAGTGGCCTTTTGGCAGTTGGTTCGAGCAATGTTATGGTGCGCTGGCACCAGCTGAAGTACGGCAGTTGGCTGTACTGGTAGTTTGGCAGCCGATGCCAATAAAAAAGCAATTAATTCCAACGGGTTTGCTGCAGCTTGTGCCAGCAATAGTTCATCAGGCGGCACCAGCAGTATAGTTTCCACAGCCTTGGCTGGCACCAGCAGCAGTTTGGCAGCTGTAGCTAACCCTGGCTAGCGCCAGCGGTAGCTCATTAGGTGGCAGGAGCAGTAGCTGTCTCCTACCAACAGGCGCCTCCAGCCCTGGCTGGCATTAGCAGTACTTCGACAGCTGTCTCCAGCCCTGACTGACACCAGCAGTAGTTCGACAGCTGTCTCCAGCCCTAGCTGACACCAGCAGCAGTTCGACAGCTGTCTCCAGCCCTGGCTGATACCAGCAGCAGTTCGACAGCTGTCTCCCAGCCCTGGCCGGCACCAACAGTAGGTCATAAGGTGGCAGCAGCAGTGGTTAAATAGCTATCTTCAGCTTTGGTAGGTACCAGCAGTAGCTCGGCAGGTCACACCAGCCGCGGCTGTGGCAGATGTCTCTATACCGGGCTAGCACAAGCAGAAGTTAGGCAGGTCACACCAGCCGCGGTGTGGCAGATGTCTCTTGACTGGGCAAGCACAAGCAGTAGTTCGGCATGCCACACCAGCCGCGGTGTAGCAGATGTCTCTAGACTGGGCTAACACAAGCAGAAGTTCGGCAGGTCACACCAGCCGCGGTGTGGCAGATGTCTCTAGACTGGGCTAGCACAAGCAGTAGTTCAGCATGCCACACCAGCCGCGGTGTGGCAGATGTCTCTATACCGGGCTAACACGAGCAGAAGTTCGGCAGGTCACACCAGCCGCGGTGTAGCAGATGTCTCTAGACTGGACAAGCACAAGCAGAAGTTCGGCATGCCACACCAGCCGCGGTGTGGCAGATGTCTCTTTACCGGGCTAACACAAGCAGGAGTTCGGCAGGTCACACCAGCCGCGGTGTAGCAGATGTTTCTAGACTGGGCTAGCACAAGCAGAAGTTGGGCATGCTACACCAGCCGCGGTGTGGCAGATGTCTCTAGACTGGGCTAGCACAAGCAGTAGTTCGGCATGCCACACCAGCCACGGTGTGGCAGATGTCTCTATATCGGGCTATCACAAGCAGAAGTTCGGCACGCCGCACCAGCCACGGTGTGGCAGATGTCTCTATACCGGGCTAGCACAAGCAGGAGTTCGGCAGGTCACACCAGCCGCGGTGTGGCAGATGTCTCTAGACCGGGCTAACACAAGCAGAAGTTCGGCAGGTCACACCAGCCGCGGTGTAGCAGATGTTTCTAGACTGGACAAGCACAAGCAGAAGTTCGGTATGCCACACCAGCCGCGGTGTGGCAGATGTCTCTATATCGGGCTAACACAAGCAGAAGTTCGGCACGCCGCACCAGCCACGGTGTGGCAGATGTCTCTATACCGGGCTAGCACAAGCAGAAGTTCGGCAGGTCACACCAGCCGCGGTGTAGCAGATGTCTCTAGACTGGACAAGCACAAGCAGAAGTTCGGTATGCCACACCAGCCGCAGTGTGGCAGATGTCTCTATACCGGGCTAACACAAGCAGAAGTTCGGCAGGTCACACCAGCCGCGGTGTAGCAGATGTCTCTAGACTGGACAAGCACAAGCAGAAGTTCGGTATGCCACACCAGCCGCGGTGTGGCAGATGTCTCTATATCGGGCTAACACAAGCAGAAGTTCGGCACGCCGCACCAGCCATGGTGTGGCAGATGTCTCTATACCGGGCTAGCACAAGCAGAAGTTCGGCACGCCACACCAGCCGCGGTGTGTAGCAGATGTCTCTAGACTGGGCAAGCACAAGCAGTAGTTCGGCATGCCACTCCAGCAACGGCTGAACGAGTGCGGCTAGCCCCGGCTGGCACCAGAGTAGCTTATCAGGTGGCACCTGCAGTAGTTCAACAGTTGTTTCATTCCCTAGCTGGCACCAACAGTGCAGTGCAGCGACAGTTGTTTCTGGCCCTGGACGATACCAGAAGCGGTTGGTTAACCGTTTCCAGCACTGGCTGACGCCAGGTGGCCGGCAGTTTGATAGCTATCTCTCGCCGTGGCCATCATGGACGGCTCGCCCTAATGCCGGCTCGACGGCCGGTCAGGCCAGGCCGGCCTGACGGCGGGCGGCGCCACCCCTGGCTCGGCGATGCCGCCTTGCTCCGGCATGTCGGCCGGCTCCGGCGCCGGCGCCACGGCGCCCTCCGCGGCAGGGCCGCAGCACAGGCCGCAACCGATGAACTCACCGTAGGCGGCGCGCATCCTGGCGTTCAACAGACCGTACGTCCACCCCTCAATTACGATCAGGCTCAGGCGCAGCTGGTGGAGCAGGCCGTTGAGCAGCGGCATCGGGTACCAGCGGCTGGCGATGCGTGGGATCACGCTCAGCCCGTCCAGCAGCAGCGTCAGCAGGATCACGCGAATGATCTTCTTGAAGGCGCGGAAGTTGGTGAAGAAGCGTTTCTCGAGCTGGTGGTCGGCGGCGTCGGTCAGGTGCTCCGACTGGATGCGGGACTGGTGTCGCAGTCCCACGAAGCCGGTGTAGATGAAGAGGCCAGCGGCCGTGAAGGCCAAGCAGAAGATCTCCACCTCGAATGTGATCATGTAGCTGCTGGGGATGGTGGTCTCCCAGCGGCAGCCGTCCAGAATCTGTGTGTCGTTGTTGATGCGCTGGTACTCTTCCGCCTGCGTCTCCAAGCCCAGGTAGAACATGATCATGCCGATGACGAGGTGCAGCAACGCCAGCAGGCCGGTCAGCATCAGCAGCCGCTTCGTGATGTTCTCCATCAGCTCGTAATAGCGTAGCGGGAAGCTGACAGCGACGAACTGGTCCAACGCCAGCCAGACGTGCGCCAGCTTCATGGCTACGGCTGCACCGACGCTAGAGAACATGATGAAGGAGCAGAGTGGTGGCGGCATCCGCTCGAACACTATGTCTGCCACACCGATGGCGGCCGCAGTGAATCCTAGAGCGAAGTCGGCGGCGGCGAGGTTAGTGACGAGAAGCACCATGGGCTCGTCCCAGAGTGCTTCGTTGCGGAAGACAACGACGAGCGGCAGAGCGAAGTTGCCCATGAGGAGTAGACCCACGCCCAACTTGACCAGGTGGTACAGACCGTTGGCCATGATGGGCTTCGCGCACCACTCACCGTTGGTTGGCTCGGTACAGCGACGCCGAGGTAGCACAAGTGCTAAGTTCAACAGCACCGGGCGATATCAGCACCTGCAGTGAGGTACACCTGGTACACTTAGTACACCACAAGTACTCACGTTGAAGCGAGGCTGAGTCTGAGTCGGGTTTAGGTCAGGGATGGCCAAGGTGAAGTCATGCTCTGTTGAGGCTTCGTGAGGTCTCCGTTGGGTGAGGACGAAGCCCCCGCGATCGTAATGCTGACTGTTGCCGAGTTCGTCCAGCAGCCGCGTCAACAGCGACCCGGCTCTGTGGCGGACACGCGGCGCGATGTCGGTGCTCCCGTGATGGAGCCACGGACGTCTCTGCGGCCACGCTGTTGTACGATGCGTCCGGTGATGCCCGGCGACATCGCAGCACTGCTGGATGGCGTGTTGGCTGCCCGGCCGCTTATGTACTGACCTGCGGCTACGCTCAGGATGCGTTTCCGCTAACACCGTCAAATACACTTGGACGTCCTCCAACCAGCGAACAGAGCCAGCTCAGCACGATGTACTTACCCGTTTTTGTCTGGCATTCTGTTATCAGCAAAGTGCATGGATGGCTTAAGTGAGTGATTGCTTGTGGCGATGGCAAAGTGTAATGGATGGGTTGCTCCTTCCGATGCTAAGCTAAGTTTGTTTCTGAGCTACATACGCCCTGAGGCACGGGTCACCTAACGGTCTTTTGATTTGAGTTGATCTCTGGTTGTATTTTTTGAACGTGGTAATCCCTAATCAGAACGATGCTTTCGTGGGATTGGTGAAGATGGTTTTTCATTGCTTCCATCAAGTTATTGCAGCGGCTGAACCTAGGCGTGTAGCGCATGAGCAATTCTAGACCCATCTCCAGCTTGCGGGTTTACTCTAAATCACGTGAAAAGGTTGTATCCTCAGCTGTCCTTACACCTGGGGGTGTCCCGCATCTTAGCACACTCACGGTACGCATACCGGCAGTATCATCCGACGAAGGACACCCCGATCGACGCCGTCGCATGGATCACTCGCCGCGTCGATCAGGACGATGTCATCGACGTTACCTCGATCGACCCCAGCCGTGCTTTCGATAGCGTCGATCACGGTGCCCTGATCGAGCTGAAGTGGGGCCGCATCGAGCCCTGCGGCCGGTGGCAGATGGTGAGAGGCGATTTCGTATCCCTCCTGATGTTCTACGGTGTCTCCTAGGGGTCCTTGCTGGGCACAGTCCTTTTCAGAGTCTTCTCAAGCGGCCTTCCCTCTTACCTTACTTAACGACGTCTGGTATCTAATGCCGGGGATACCAACTGCTGGACTCAGTTTGTCATGGCGATGTAGTCATCCTAAAAGACCGGCAAGAGGAGACCCTTATGCTTATAAGACCCAGTCCTTTTTCACACCCAGCGCTACCTTCACATCCTGACGCTTGAACATGGATTCGACCAAGAGTACCCTGATCCTTGTCTGCACAGCCCACAACCTCAAAGAAACCGTATCCTTTCATCTAAGCATGCCTATTCGTAAGCTAAGGTCAACATTTCGTGTCCGGGGAAGGACACATCTCAAACCTGACCAAACAAGGCAATTCCATCCTCCTCGGCTTATCCAAATCTCGACACCACTCCTCGTCCGCCACCGCAAAATTCTGGTCCAATACCACGTCTTTCGACGCGTTTTGTCCTATCGATCTGGGAAGGGGGGAGGGGGGGGGGGGAGGGACCGTTCGTTGTTACCTACGCAGCGTGCAGAAGGTGGTCTTCGCGGCCAGGGTCGCTTCGGGGGCGCGTGTTTATGATCAAATCTCACCGACCATGGAGGCGCAGGGTTGGTGCGTTGTGTGGGGCCTTGCCACCCACTTTGCCAGCATTGGCATGCTCAGTAGCCACCATCATAACAAAATACCGTCCCTGACGTTTTTTTCGTCGAGTTTATATAAAAAATATTGCAAGCCGTCGGGCAAAAGAAATCATGACACAGAAAAGGCGTGATGAAAAAAACCAACGAGGTAAATTGGTTAACAAAATGTAAGACAATTCGAGGCGGAGAATTGCGATATAATTAAAAGGAAACGAAGGATTTTGCGCTACCCACCCCTGTCGTTACAGCCATTTTTTTCCCAGATTTCAGCCATTTCAGCTACGAAATGAGCCCTTGAATGCTTCATTAGTTCCCAGACTGTTTCTTTGAAACAAGTCCTTGCATCTTGTTAGTTTCTCATGTCCCGTTGTGGGGCAGAAATAGTTGTAACATACATGGGATACCGTGAAACTACTTAAGCTGTTGGCTTGCATCTATGCATGCAGACGTGGTAGCTGAAAATGGAATGATATGCAATTTGTTGGCGTAGCCATCGAAGGGAAGGATCTACATGTCCACCTGATTTCTCAGCATGGAGCCTTGTCCAAATTTTGCCTTATAGTGCATATTTTTTGCCTCCCCAATTTCATAACCGTGGCTACACTTCATCAATATAATGACAGCAGTTTGAATGCAACCAGAAATAATGAGCAACGAACTGATGAAAATAATGTGCTTGTTTCTAACTATATCACAGAAAAGACCAGTTGTGAGCTGACAAGCTTTGCTTGATGTTAAATGAATCCCGAGCTAGAAACTGATAGCGCGTCTGTTGACCAAAACATATCAGTCCGGATTGTCATTCACGGTCACGGTGGAGGTCATTCGGCTACGGCTTGCTAACACTGCCACTGGGCGCTGAGAGATCCTCGTGCCCCCGGGTAGCCCACTCATTCGCCACATGTGCCGCCGCGTCAGAACGCATCACCCAGGCGGCGTTGGCAGGCATGCTGGAGACGTCCGCTGTTGGCCCGTCAGTGTCGCACCGTGTGTGTTCTTTCCGCGCAGGCTCGCGCTGGACCTGCCTGACGCAGACTATTATTAACCTGCGGAAACTGAGGATGCAGCAGCAAACTCGACCGTGCTGAGTGATACTATTCTGAACATTGTTTTTTTGTTCTTGTGAGGCCGCTTTTTGCGACCTGTCCAATTAGCGCTTCGTTTGTGTTGCTTTGTATTTGACCTTTGCGCCATATGATGTGACTGAAATAAAATAGTCAGCCATCGAATGAAAATATTCCTCAAATTATATGACTGAAATCAAATAGCAAGTCATCAAATGAAATGATTCGTTAATGAATTGACTAGATTGGATTTGACTTTTGCAGTCCTGGCATATCACGCATAAATTTCATGATGCAGGCATGCATGCATGCCCATACAAAAACCTTGCCCTTAAAATTCACACATGTTATGAGTCCATCCATTATCGTATCAATGCCACCGTACTTCACAGTTTCCTGTAGTGCTACAACGCGGCGAGGACTATAGCCGAGATCAGATGAAACTAAGGGAAATTTTGAAATGATCGCTATCATCTGTGATTCACTACAACATGACATGATCAGTTATACTTTTGTTAGTTTCAGCCGGCTATGTGTGGACTCATGTTTCGTGCTCGGTTCGCTATCGTCGCCCCACTCCGGTGGGAACGAAGTCTACGGTAATATTGCCCCTGGCCACTGGACGGTGCACGACCTCGCTCGTTCTGAGACTGCAGTATAGAGGACTCATCGGTTGGGTAAACCCATGGGTACCCGTATTGAATAGATCACCGGTCAATAAGGTAGCTCTCGGGCCATCTGGGGTCAGTGTCGTGCCATTTCAGCTTGATCGGGGCATTGTGACCAGCGCTGTCGAAGGCGTTGGGTAAATAGTTTAAGAGTACTGCGCGTATGGGTAGGCATATGAGTAAAACTACTATGGAACCTCGGGAAGATGTTTAAAGGATTGCCACTGTCACTGTCACTTCCAATGTCACTGCTTGCGCTTATTTTAATGATAGTTAGCTTTCTTCACTCTCATTCTGCAACTATCAACGGAAAAGCGTGAAGTTTTGTGAGCAAACATTCCTTAACTTGCGCCTGGCCAGGGTGCGAGACAACCGCGTCCGGCGGGGCGGGGAAGTGGGAAAGTTCACTTTCCACTAGGATCTCCAACTTCCAGACGCCGTATGAAAAAAATGCCGTTGTAAAGGTCTCGTCAAATAATGAAGAATGCACGCAAAATGTGTGACCTTAGGTCAAATGTAGGGTCACTAGAGGTCCCGAAAGACTGTGGGACAAAAGTATTCCAGACACAAAAATGTCATTTTGGGATGACCTCGAAGTCATCTGATGTCAACTGAAATCAATTTATCACCCATCCGAATGAAAAAATTGAAGTGCTAACCGGGTCTATGTAACAAGTACAGTGCTTTTCTGTGGTCAGAAATAGTGTATCGTGCATCGGCAGCTACTCAAGATCCCATAGCTGTTACCTACATGATACGTAGTCCCTTCGACGCTTGGTAATGTATATGTAACAAACCAAAAGCAGGCACGCTGTTACCTGAAAGTATACGTCACCAGCTTCACAAACACAACGAGGAGGTGGTTGCATCCGTCGTACGCGCTCATCCAGCCTCTCCACCACCGGCAACATAGGTCACCAACCGTGGATGACCTCACAGGACGTTAGATGTTCTCGTGCGGCCTATTGTGACCTCATTATCCTTAAAGTGATATCCCAACATATGTGCAGTACACTATTCAAATTTTGCGCACAGGACTACATTATAGAACTGCCTATTGTGAGCTCAACATGTGTTTTGCAGAAGGTACCCATAGAGACATATCATGACCTGGGCCAAGGCCATGCACTCTGTGGTCATGTGATGGTTTTGCATGCGAGCTAGTGCTCTTTACCTCACATAAGACACCAAAACTACAAAAATGTGTACAAATTCGCGTAAGTTACGAAAAATTGCAGATATTGACATGACTGTAGGTCAATGACCTTACATTTTCCGAAAAACCTGAAACACACCAATTGTGAGTACTTTCATGGTCTATTACTCTAGCAAGTTTGAATACTAGCAAATTATCCACAGAAACGTTATGTGTGGGCAAAGTGTTTAAGTGTTG